GGTCTACAGTCAAAAACCCTAACAAGGACGCGCGGCAAGAACGCAAGACCCTTGGAAGCCGAAGTTGGAACTTCTGGGGCGGCGGACGACGAAAACCTCAAGGACGCAAGAGCAAGGAAGAGCAAGGACGCAAGGGTACCCTGAGCAAAGTCGCGCGTCCTTGTTAGGGTTTTTGACTGTATGAGGTCGATCGACCTCCGATTGTTCCTGGGGCCACTTCTGCGCCTGCCGGGCGGCCCGAGCGCCGGTCGGGGGCCCGGTGCCAAGAGCGCGCGAGCGGGGGGGGGGCTGCAGGAGGGCCAGCAGGGCCAGGAGGGACGGCTGCGGAGAAGAAGACGAAGATGACGACGATGTTCCACACACACACACACACAATTTTGCGGCTTCTGCGCCAGATGCTGTCTGCCTCCCTGGAAGGACGCCCCGCTCAACTATTCACAGCAGCATGCGGGGCGCATTATCGTTTGAAAGCTGCGCCTCGAGACCTTTGGTACGAGCAGGGCCCGTGCCCGATCACACGGAACGGACGAAGGCAAGCAATAGGGAAAATACACAACCATGCGCCTGCAAATGCAGCATCAGTATCACAAGCGCTGCTCTGCTACAACACCCTTTTTCTCTACCTGACTGCTCCATTACCGTGCTATGTTCTCCCATTCGTACAACGCGCGCGCGCTGTCCGCGGAGGAGAATGCGCAGCGTGCTCCCTCGGTTCTCTGGCGAGCCGTTCGAGGGCACTGCAAATCCCCCAGTGTGATCGTTCGCGTTGAACGGCCCCGTGTCTGGTCGTCTCGTGTGTAGAAATGGTGGGGTACGCCCGTGGATAAATGTTCCCCGCGCAGACAGAGGGGCAGAGCGACACAGCGAGAGGTCTGAGGCAGCACGAGGAGCAAGTCGCGCACTCCCCGCCTGGTTGGGAGGGGGCGGACATGTTCCACTGCAGCAGAAGGGCCAAGACTCATCGAGCCTCGCGACGCCGGAAGTCCCATGGACTCCATGCTTCCAGAATGTCTGCGGGCATCACGCCGCCTGGCACACGTCCTCCGTCGGTGGGCGGAGCGCGGCCACCAGCTTCACGCCGGCAGCGAGGGGCGCACGCGACACCACGATGCGTGCGGTGTACCTGCCCAGCGCTCGCTCGACGACCGTCAGCAGCGAGCTCTCGGCGCGGCGCCAGGGCCGCCCGCCCGGCAGCTCGTCTCCGGCGGGGTCCCCGCCGAAGTCGGAGAACTCGAAGCTCTGCTCGAGGACGCCGGCGGCCGTCCACGCGGGCGCCGGCAGCGCCGTGAGCCGCCCGAGCTGGGGCAGGTCGCCGCAGGGCTGCGGCGAGCACGCGTAGGGGTCCTCCAGCGCCTCTGGGAGGGGGGGGGAAGGGGGGGGGGCGGAGGAGGAGGAGGAAGAGGAGGAGGAGGAGGAGGAGGAGGAGGAGGAGGAGGAGGAGGAGGAGGAGGAGAAAAGGAGAGGAGGAGGAGGAGGAGGAGGAGGAGAGGAGGGGAGGAGGGAGGAGGAGGCGGAGGAGGAGGAAGGAGGAGGAGGGAGGAGGAGGAGGAGGAGGAGGAGGGAGGAGGAGGGAGGAGGAGGGAGGAGGAGGAGGAGGAGGAGGAGGAGAGGAGGAGGAGGGGGGGGGGGACATCGACCTGGAATCGGCGCGCAATCGCCGACGGATCGACCGCGAGCGTGCACGTGCCCGGGCGGCGTGGGCCAGCAGGTCCCCCCTCGGCGCGCTCGGGGCCGCTGCTTTCCCCCCTCGAGCCCACCATCTCCCCCTCCCTCCGCCCCGGAGCCTCGCCCACCTCCAGCCCCGCGAGGCGGAGCTTGTCCTTTGAGCAGGGACCGACCGTCCCGGCATTCCTATAGTCCTACCACGAAATGTTCTTAGAACCCCAAAATGTTCTAAGAACAAAAACAATGTTCTCAGAACATGAACCCCATGAGTGAAAACAAGACTATCTCCGCCAGAACTGTTCGAAGAACAGTTCGTGGGAACCACAGAAGGTTCTCAGAACATTGTTTGGTAGGGCTATAAAGCGGGCCAGGACGCTTCGCCACTGCTTGATGTCCTGCACCATCTCCACGGACAAGGCCGGGCCGCACCTCGGCAGTGCCACCGCCTGGCAGGTCGGGGGCCCTTCCTCCTCGCCGGCCCAGGCGCAGAACTGCCCCGGGGGGCAGTCGGGCAGGGTGCAGGCGGGCCCCGAGTTCTTGGGGCAGCATGTCTGCCTCGTGCTCGCCCAGGCCGGCGCGGCCGACGCCGCGGCTGCCACGGCGAGGAGGGCCATGGCGGCCACCATTGGTCCGATCGCTCGCTGCGCAGATCTCCGACGACAAGATCTCTTCAAATCCGGACGCGCTCCTTCGATATCGGCCTCATGGGGCTCCCTGTCGGGCCCCGGGGCCACCGAGAGTGGGCCTGCAGGGCGCAAAACTGCCCCCGGGGAATGGGCGGGATCTCTCTGGGGGCCGCGGACTGAAGCAGCGAGGACGGGATCGGCGGAGGTCCGCGCAGCAGCCGCTGCTCGCCGCGCTTCCGGGACACCCGAGGCCACTCGAGCCGAGATCGCGGCGGGGCCCCCTGCAGGTCTCCGGGGTGCGGGGGCGCCGCCTCCTGGCGTCCGCGCGGTGGAGATCGACGGCGGCACTGGCACTGCCAGGCCCAGACCCCCGACGTCATGATTTTTTCATTACGTCGACCCCAGAATTCTCGACCCCTTCCCCAGGACCGGTTTGTCACCCCGAGTCGTTTTTTGACGCTCCCGAGGCCCGGCGAGGGCCCCCAGAGGCCGAAAATGGCGGAAAACCTCCCGTCATGATTTTTTCATGACTCGAGGGGGTCTGGGGAGATCGACAGCGGCACTGGCACTGCCAGGGCCCGCGCAAGCATGCAGTGGCCAGGCCAGCACGCGCCGGGCTCCGCCTCCGTGTGGCGCAGGGCGCTCGGGCGGCCTGCATGGTCGGTGGTGAGCGGCGGGGTCGGCCGGCAGAGGATACACCCTGCGAAATGCTTAAGAAATCATGGGCTAAGAAATTCGTAGTCTCAGAAATGGAATAAAACCCAGAACTTCTATCAAAATCTTGGGGTTTACATTGGAAAGTTAAGAATAATCGAGACTCTGGACGAAAACTTTGGTTTTCTTAAGCATCGCCTAGGGTGTACCTTGGCCGCCTTAGGGTGGATCGGGGAGGTGAAGGGTCACGAGTTGCGGTACTCAATGGCCGACGAGAAGGAAAGAGTTACCAGCTGTTGCGTTTCCCTGGGCCCTGGGGAAGGCAGTGCGCTTCTCGAGCCTGGGTGAGAGGTTCTCACATGGTGCGGCCCTCTGGGGCCTGGTGGGTGGAAGTGCCACTCGCCACGGCCACAGGGCACGTCGAGGAAGCAGCCATCACATAACGCGGCGATCCAACCAGGGCAAGAAAAGTGCCACACGTTATGGCCCTATTGGCTCCCAACAACGGCTATCAGGTACTTCTCAGGCCAAGTAAAGAGGCATGGTACAATGTCCTACTCCCTGGGACCGAGGGATCACATGTTAGAGCGCGACGTGCTGTCCTCACATAGTTGCCACGCTGACTGCTGCGCAGGCACAACAAAAATGCGGAACCTGCTGCAGGCCGCAGACGCCCGGGTATGAACATAACTCTTACGCACGTCATGCGCGTGTTGGGCACTGCGTTCTGGTGCGTAGGATACATATCTGCTTGACACGCCCACGCAAGACCACTGTGAAACTCTGCCGAGCGCTTCTGGGGTCACGACCGACTGCACGGTGCTGCCACAACGAAGTTCGAGGTTGCGGAGCGCCCTGCCTGTGGCAACAGCAGCGCAAATGCCATGGGAAACGACCGACGCCACAGCTGGAGGCGCAGAGAGACAAAGGCCGGCCACGCGGCACGATGCCGCCTCCTGTTGACTCGGCGGCGTGCCGAGAATGGGGGCGCGAGAGGAGGCAGGCCTTCTCGGAAGGCGGCGGGGCTCGTCAGAAGCCATCGCGCCTTCTCTGAGAAGGTCCGCCGACTTCGCTCCTGCCATCCCAGACCCCCGACGTAATGATTTTTTCATTACGTCGACCCCAAAGTTCTCGACCCCTTCCCCAGGACCGGTTTGTCATCCTGAGTCGTTTTTCGACGCTCCCGAGGCCCGGCGAGGGCCCCCAGAGGCCGAAAATGGCGAAAAACCTCCCGTCATGATTTTTTCATTGCTCGAGGGGGTCTGCGAACGCGAAACCATTCATGCGTTAGCGCTCCCCCGCGGCCTTCCACCCGCGGGCGCACCGCCGATCTCCTGCACCAGACCCATCGGTCTCGGGCAGCGCCGCTGGCTCCCTGGGGCGGGGCGCGGGCGGCTTCAGCCCCCGGGCTGCTCGGGGAACGCGAGCTCCAGCAGCTGGCGCCAGGGCTCGGCCGCCTCGTCCGCGGCCTCCTCCTTCGGAATGGAGAGAAGGCGACGACGACGACGACGACGACGACGACGACGACGACGACGACGACGACGACGACGACAACGACGGCGGAGGCGGCTGCGGCGGCGGCGGCGGCGATGACGACGACGACGGCGGCGGCGGCGCGGCGGCGGCGGCGGCGATGACGACGTCGACGAGGGGATGGAATAGTAGAAATGGACTAGGGACTGGCATGAATCGGAAGTCGCAGACTTGGTGACTGTGGGGATGCAGCTGTAAAATCGCCAGCCAGCCACGCACGAACGCAGCACCGAGATTCACGCGGCCTGGTCTGTAGATACACACCACCCCACGCGGGCGGCCTCTGAAGACACCCGCTCAGTCCCCACGCAGGGACACGAGCAGGCCATGCTCTGCACTGCCTCCCGATTGACCATGCACAAATTCCAGTGGCCAGCCTGCTGGGGCGAGAAGCCCGGGTGGCGGCGAAAGCACAAGAGGAACGAGGCGCGCACAGCCGAGCGGGGGCAGCCCCAAGGCACGATCATCCCCCGAGGCCTCCTGCGGCAGGCACGCGACGCGGCGCGACGCGCGGGCCGGCCCTCAGCTCTTCGCCGCGCTGGCGATCTTCATGTCCTGCACCTCCCTCCGCAGGCTCTCGAGCTCCATCGACTGCTTGTCCAGCTGGCGCTCATCCTGGCGCTGCTGCTGCTCCAGCATGCGGTCGGTGCTGCTCGGGCCGCGGCTGCCGCTTCCACCCAGGATGGCGTTGCTGATCATGTTGCCCGCGACGTTGCCGACGACGTTGCCCACGATCATCTCGCCCATGGAGGGGCCCGCAATGATGGGCGCGGCCCCCATGACCGGCGCCGACTGCTGGACGATCACCGTCTTGTTCACCACGGTCTTGTTGACGGTGGTGCTGGATGAGGAGGGCGCGGGCGCGGGCCTGGGCGGCGCAGGCCTGGGCGGCGGGGCGGAGCGGGCGGGCATCGAGCTGCCCATGCGGCCCCCGCTCTTGGCCGCCTGGGCCTCCGCCACCGGCACGAGCGCCACGACGAGGGCCGCCAGCAGGGACAGCACGGCGCCGCCCGCCCTGCCGAGGGCGGGCGGGCCCCCGCCCTCCGCCGGCGGCTCGGGGGCCGCGGCGCCGCGGAGCGCGGCCCCGCGGGCGCTCGCGCCCTCGCCCGCCGCGCGCGGGGCGGACGGGCCCACGAAGGCCGGGGCGGCCAGCGCGAGCAGCGCGGCGGCGGCCAGGGCGGCCGCGAGGGCGGTGGAGCGCTGGGCGGCCATGGCGTGCGAGGCGCTCCCTTTGGGGCTCCCGCGGGGCGCGAGCGGGGCTCCGCTGCGGCGGCGCTGGGCCAGGGCTTTTGGGCCACCACGGCTCTGGGGCGAGGAGGAGAAGGACCCCTTCGTGTCGCTCCTCTTCGGCCTCCGGGGGCCCTTCCCTGGCCTCGGGGCCGTCAGCATGAAACGGCTCAGGATGGAAGGCCGGTCCCGGGGAGAGGGTCCAGACATCTGGGGGTCGACGGTGCGACAAAAATCACGACGTCGGGGGTCTGGGGAAGAAGATGCAGGGGAGCCTCGTAGTCCAAAGTGCCTTCACTGGCCTGCATTGCGCTGCGCACATGCGCCACCGACCGAGTGGATGAGGAGGAGCACAGGAGGACCAGGAGGAAGAGGGGGAGCCTTGCAACCACATCCTTCGCACTCTGTGGCACGAAGCTCGACTGAGCGAGTCCTTCGGAAGGCCGGGTGCGGGCGAGGCCGCACCTCAGCGTGCAAGGCGGTCAAAGACGCTCGCCGTCTCAGCTCCACCCTGAGCACACTCTCTCCCCAGACCCCCGACGTAATGAATTTTTCGTTACGTCGACCCCAGAGTTCTCGACCCCTTCCCCAGGACCGGGTTGTCATCCCGAGTCGTTTTCTGACGCTCCCGAGGCCCGGTGAGGGCCCCCAGGAGGCCGAAAATGGCGAAGAACCTCCCGTCATGATTTTTTCATTCCTCGAGGGGGTCTGGGTCCTGCCTCGGTGGCTGCTCCACGCGCGCGGGGCCAGGTGCCCGACGTCGGCAGCGCCCGCAGCGGCGACGGGCGAGGAAGCCGAGGCTCTCCGGCCGCCCCGGGGCCCCCGATCTCCGGCCGCGCTCGGCGCACCCAGCCCCAAAACGCCGACCATGGCAACCACCCATGCAGTGAAATTGGGCCGATGCTTCAGCGGGCGCCGATGTGCACAAGCTCCCATCCACGGCACTTCCAGTCTCATGATGCTCCCATCGTTCTTAAGGACCACATGCCAGAAATAATTTCGAGCACCCGGAAAAGTGTCGAAACAGTGTCGAAACAGTGTTGGGCGAGTGTCTCCCAGGGCCCGACACGTGAAAACCTTCGAGTTTCGGTACTTATTTGGTGCTCGAAATTCTCTCTGGTGATCAAGGCTAAAGTAGGTTGGAACATCTTTAATTCCAGTCCCTCGCCGTTGTCCACCCTCTCTGGCCCCGGCTCCCCCCGCTGCTAGGCAAGCAGGTGTGGGCGCTGACCCTGCAGGTCGGATCTCTGAGGCACCAGCTGGGGCTCAGATTCTGAGAGATGCCAGCAGCCAACAAGCGAACCCATCGACATCGGATGTCTTGCCTTGCCCAGACATCCCACGTCTCGATTTTTTCGAGACGCGGGCCCCCGACCTCCCGACCACTTCCCTGGGACCGATTTTTCATCCCGAGCCGTTTTTTGAGGGTCCCGAGGCCCGGCGAGGGCCCCTCTGGACACCGCTGCGAAGCCTGCCCCCCCAGACATCGGGCGTCTCGAAAAAATCGAGACAGAGGTTTTTCATAGTTTTTGGCCTCTCGGGGCCCTCGCCGGGCCTCGGGACCGAAAAAAACTCACTCAGGATGAAAAAACAGTCCCAGGGAAGTGGTCGGGAGGTCGGGGGCCCGCGTCTCGAAAAAATCGAGACGTGGGATGTCTGGGGGGGAAGGATGCGAGGGTAGCAGCGTTGGAAAGGCGCTCATCCTTTCTGTGCGGGTTGCTGTAGCTGGAGATCCCCATGACCTCCTGAGGGACCGGAGGAGGAGGAGGAGGAGGAGGAGGAGGAGGAGGAGGAGGAGGAGGAGGAGGAGGAGGGAAAGGAGGGAAAGGAGGAGGAGGAGGAGGAGGAGGAGGAGGAGGAGGAGGAGAAGGAGGAGGAGGGAAAGGAGGAGGGCGAGGAGGGCCGCTGCCATGCCAAGCTGCAGACTCGCGAGGGCCCACGGCCGGCAGGAAGGCGCGCACCCGCCGAGCGAGGGGAGGGGCAGCGAGGGGGGGCGGGAGGCGGAGAGCGCAGACCCCCGACGTGATGATTTCTTCATGACCCAGAGATCCAACGTATTGAAAAAATCAAGACGGAGTTTTTTCTCAAATTTCGGCCCCTAGGGGCCCTCGCCGGGCCTCGGGGCCGTCAAAAAACGACTCAGGATGAAAACCCGGTCCTGGGGAATGGGTCGAGACTTCCGGGGACCCCGTATTGAAAAAATCACGACATCGGATCTCTGGGGACGTCGACCCCAGAGTTCTCGACCCCTTCCCCAGGACCGGCTTGTCATCCCGAGGCGCTTTTGGACGCTCCCGAGGCCCGGCGAGGCCCCCCCCCGAGGCCGAAGAGGGCGGAAAACACCTCCCGTCGTGCTTTTTCCGCTCCTCGAGGGGGTCTGGGAGGGGAGGGGAGGGGAGGGGAGGGAAAGGTCTGGGAGGGGAGGGGGGGCACGGGGACACGAGGGGGAGGCGCCGCGGTCTGGCGGCGACGAGGCCCCGCGGCGGGTGGGCTCCGCTCCGCGCCGATGGCGCGGCCGCGTCACATCTGGCCGCACGGCGGCGACGGCGCCAGGCACTCCCCGCACTGCCGGTGCAGGTGGCCCTTGGGCAGCACGGCCCACTCCACCTCGTCGGGGCAGACGGGCGGCGCCAGCCCGCCGAGCAGGGGGTCGTACGTCCCAGACATCGGGCGTCTCGAAAGAATCGAGACAGAGGTTTTTCAATAGTTTTGGGCCTCTCGGGGCCCTCGCCGGGCCTCGGGACCGTCAAAAAACGACTCGGGATGAAAAACCGGTCCCAGGGAAGAGGTCAGGAGGTCGGGGGCCCGCGTCTCGAAAAAATCGAGACGTCGGGTGTCTGGGATAGGGGAACAAAAAGTGGCATAAACATGTAAGCTCGGAGGTCCGCGCGGAGTCCTCGGATATCGGCGCTGGGCCCCCCTCCCTGGCGCGCGGAGCACGCCAGGGGCGGCGCCGGAGGGGCCGCGCTGGGGGGTCCCAGCGCCGACCCGAGAACTCTGCGCGGACCTCCGAGTTTTTACGCTTATGTCGCCTTTTGTTCCCCTAGGACACGAGCGGCAGGCGCGGCAGCCGGAGCGCGACCTCGCGGCAGAAGGCCTTGGGGTCGCTGGGCAGCGGCGCGTCGCCGGGCGCCTGCCGCAGCAGCAGCTGGCACAGCAGGCAGACCTCCACGGGCTCGAGGCGGCGCTCGTCCAGCAGGTCCAGCACCCGGAGGAAGGTGCCCCCCTCCCGCAGCTGGTGGATCATCGGGCTGTACGTCAGCCACCGGTTGCCGGCGCGCCTCGCCTCGCGCGCCTCGCCGCGGATGTCGTCGACGACCTCCAGCTGCAGCTCCACCTCCTCGTCGACCTCGTTGTAAAAGCCGACGACGGCGTCGTCGTCGGTGCACAGCCGGACGACCAGGTGCACTGGGAGGTCGGCGCTCAGGCGCCGGAGCTCCTGCACGAGGGCCTGCTGCTGGGCCAGGCCACCGGCGCCATAGCGGTCCGTCGGCAGGCCGTCGGTGGCGATAACCAGCACCACCTTCTGCCCCCTCGCGGCCAGCTCCCGGCCCTCCAGCTGGATCCGCTCCCGCAGCTGCCGCAGGCGGGCGGCAAGCGGCGTGGCGCCCTTGGGCCCCGCCCTGTCCAGCAGGCCCCGCAGGGCTCCCAGCTGCTGCGCGACGCTTCCTCTGGAGGCGTCCACCCGCTGGAAGTCGATGCCCTCCTCCATTGCCGCGCCGGCGAAGAAGGGGTTGAGGAGCACAAACTCGCACGGAGTCCCCAGCCGCGCGTTCCACTCCGCGTGCCGCAGGGCCATGTGCACGATCTCCTCCCAGCGCGTGCAGCGCCTGAAATGCATCTGCCCGCCGCCGGCATCCTCCAGGAGCTGCCCGTCGGCATGGGAGGTGCTGCCGGAGTTGTCCAGCAGAAACACCCTGAGGGCAATCTGCCGGTCCTCCTCGCTCACCAGCCGCGCAAGGCCGGCGGGTAACCCCAGGCCCATCAGCGCTTCTGGGCTGACTGGCGACCCGGAGACGTCGCGGCCGATCTCCGCCATGCAGGCGCCCCAGCCCTCCTCGGTGGCGGCCGCGGCGGCCTGGGAGGCCCCGCCAGGCGCCCCGGCGGCGGCGGCGGGGCGCTGCCCCATGGCCTGCTCCTGCAGCAGGTGCCGCAGCGCGAAGTTGGGCAGCACGCCGCCCGGCTGGAAGGGCCTCCGGCACGTGGGGCACCGGGGCGCGCCTGCGGAGCCGAGGACGCCGTCCAGGCACCGCTTGCAGAAGGTGTGTCCGCAGTCCCCCAGCAGGTGGGGGTCCTGGAGCCCCAGACCCCCTCGAGCAATGAAAAAATCATGACGGTCTGGGGTTCTCGACCCCTTCCCCAGGACCGGTTTGTCATCCTGAGTCGTCTTTTGACGCTCCCGAGGCCCGGTGAGGGCCCCCAGAGGCCGAAAATGGCGGAAAACCTCCCGTCATGTTTTGTTCATTCCTCGAGGGGGTCTGGACAGTCCCCCAGCAGGTGGTGGTCCTGGAACCGCTCCAGGCACACCGGGCACCGCAGCAGGTCCTCGCGCGACGGCGGCTCTGCCGCGGCTGCCGGCGCCATGGCGACTCGCGGGCGCCAGCGCCAGCGCGCGTGCGCGCGCGCGCCCCGAGCCAGGCTGGCTTGAGCCAAAATGGCTACGGAGGAGCAGGAAGGAGCAGGAAGGAACAGGAAGGAGGAGGAGGAGGAGGAGGAGGAGGAGGAGGAGGAGGAGGAGGAGGAGAGGAGGAGGAGGAGGAGGAGGAGGAGGAGGAGGAGGAGAGGAGGAGGAGGAGGAGAGGAGGGAGGAGGAGGAGGAGGAGGAGGAGGAGGAGGAGGAGGAGGAGGAGGAGGAGGAGGAGGAGGAGGAGGAGTTTTTTTTACCTAACAGCGTTTGCTGATAGGTTTCTAGTGGGGTCGAAAGAGAGCATCATGACTCCTCAGGGGGGTCTGGGCGGGTGCCGGGGAGGAGAACCGGGAATCGT